ATAATCCAGGTATCTTTAGGTGACAAATGTTTGTCTAAATCATTCCAGATCAGTATAAAATTCGTCACTTTTTTCAACATGCAAGAGCTTTCTGCTAAAACATCTCAAATGCATGGAAAATGTTTTGAAGAGGTCAGTCCATTAAATGATGACCCACCCCAACTCCAAGGCTTACAGCCCTGTGTAAATTTAATGTGCAAGTTTTGTATAATTTTACTTTTCAAACATCACCATCTTATACTAAAACTAGCCAGAATGCTAGCAGAGTGTATAAGTTTAGGTTTGTTCTATACTGTCAGTATTGTCATTTATTATTAATTTTCCCTGTTTGAGAAAGTTATAAATAAAATTTCCTTGGACTGAAGAAATTGAATTTGGGGTGAAAATCCTTTTAGACTTGTTTTTGTTGTTAAGGGTATAGTTGTTGAATTTGGGAACATAACTATTAGTTCAGAATTTTGAAACTCTGTTTTTAAAATATATTTACATCTGCATCTTATCTATAAAATAATATATTTAAATGTAGCAATTGCACGCTCTTCCTATTAAGAACTATAAAGATCTAACTTTTTAATTTAAAAAAAATAATAATTGAAGTTATCATGTGAAATTCTATTTTTACCATCAGTTTACACTCAAAATATATCAGTTTCCTTGAACTGACGATACAGCCTTAAAGAACTGAATATTTGTAAAATCAAATATTTACCTATGAATCCCAAATAAAAATCATTTCATATATGAATTTTGTTTTGGAAGAATCATTAGTTTTTGTAGAAACTTTAAGTCGAATACCAATCCTCTGAGAATGAATATTACACAATTTATAAATTCAGTCTGCATATATATTAAATTTCCTATTCCTAATTGTTAAGATATTCAATATTTTTATATTGTGTGATATTATTTACCCATTAGCAATAAATGTTAAACCAGATATGCGACAATTATAAAAAAAATCCTTTCTTTCTTTCTTTCTTTCTTTCTTTTTTTCTTTCTTTCTTTCTTCATAAAATAAATCTGTTGTCCTTCAATTATTTGCTTGCATATAAAATTAGCCTATTTTCCACTATTAGAAATGATTCTGCAGAATTAATTGTTAATTCCAAATTAAGAATTTTCCTCTTTTTCCTCCCCAAGCAATAAACTGGTCAACCAACAAGAGGAGAAAGTATTACATTAAAAACATCTGAAAGATAAATTATTTTAATGAATAAGCAGAGTTTTAAAATAATTGGTTTAATGACCTTTAAATTACCACAGTAAAAATTTAAAACTAACTTCTGATTTCATCAGTGTATAATCAGTTTAATTAGATTCAGGTTTGTATATATTTATTGTAGAGAAGTTGCCGCATAAAAAACAATTTTTATTATCCTCTCATTTATGTATTGTATTTTTAATTCTGCCTTCATTTAGCAACTGCTCAGGAAAATTTAAAAATTGTAAGACAGCAACATACAATAATTTTAAAAAATTATTTTAAAACAATTTAAAATTAAATCAAATCATTTGTTCTTAAAAAGACTGAAACAAAGTTAAAATGTATATAAAAGGGAATTTCCTGGAAGCAATGACCAATCCTTCTCAGAACAGTACATTTTTATGAGATGACTGATGAAGGAATGAACCCTAAGAATATGTCCTTAATTTAAATGAAGTATACATCAATTAATGTTATACATATATAAGATTTAAATTGCAGAGTTTCACTACTACAAAGTTATCTTTCCTCAAATTTTTCATTGGCCCTATATGTTACATTTGCACTCATTCTGTTGATTCTTATTTCTCATTTATGGTTTTAAGATTCTTTAAGCATTGACTTTTAAAACTCTGATCTAAAATTACAGAAATACATAATTACTACTTGCAAAAAATTGATAAGACTATAACCTTAAACTTTAATGTGAAGCTTTTGCCACAAATCGTCCCTTGTTTCTGAATATTCTTATTTCTGAAGAATCTTATTTCTTAATCCATATAATGTTTCCTATTCTTAGATTTACAGTATATACAGTGTTCACGTTAACAGAATAACAGAGTTGGAAGGGTCCTTAGAGGTCTTCTAGTCCAACCCCCCTACTCAGGCAGGAAACCCATTTCAGACAAATGGTTGTCCAACCTCTTCTTAAAAACCTCCAGTGTTGGAGCATTCACAACTTCTGGAGGCAAGTGGTCCCACTGATTAATTGTTCTCACTGTCAGGTAATTTCTCCTTCCTTCTAGGGTTCTTCTCTCCTTGATTAGTTTCCATCTGTTGCTTCTTGTCCTGCCTTTAAGGTTGACTCCCTCTTCTTTGTGGCAACTCCTCAAATATTGTTTTAAATACCTGCATTTTAAGTTTTAAATACTGAGTGGATATATACAGTGAATATGTGAGAAAGATTTGTAATAACTTCGTCCTATAAATCTTACAGAATAGACTTCCACTTTAATGTAAACTCATTTGGAAATTTTAGTTGTAGAACATTTGATAATTATTTTTTAAAATCATAGTGATTGAATGACAAGAATTTATTTACATCCTTGAAGCTTTGTTATTTCCCAAAGTTCCTAAAACCTAAAGGTCAAATCCTGTAACACTTTGTAGAATCACAGTTTTATTATTCGAAAAAAAACCCCACCGTCATCAACATTGTCAGAAGAGCACTCGTCACTGCTACCACAATGACATTACCTAGTTAGGTAATGAAATGTCTTCAAGAAAACCACCAAGCTCAGAGAGCCCCAAGAACCCCACAGTTCAATCCTGAGATACAGATATTATGTTCTGTTAGTTGTTAAAAGGTTTTGCCACAAAAGGACCATTAAAATGTTATCTGTGAAATTATCTAAGGAGATCTCTGCAGCAGTGCCTCCAAGCCATCTCCATGGCTACCCAATATTGATCTTTTAATATTGAATTGATGGGTCAGGAGACTCAACTATATCATAAGAACATATGAAAAACTTTACTTGGGGGAATCTAATGTCCATTTTGTCCAACTTCTAACTCTCTGTGCTAGCCAAAGGCTTAGTAGAAACCTACAAGTAGAATATGAGGTATCATACCAGCCTTCTGCTCCAAGCAAGTGCTCCACTGCCTTCCAAGGACCTTAAACTTTCTTAAGGCAGCTACTCTTTGCTATATTAAAAAAAAGGGGGGGACAGGTCTTTAAAAAAATCACAGATGGTTAGGTTGTTAATTTTGGAAACTATTCTTAAACTTCTAAGTAGAAATTCTTAGAGGTCTTAAGTAGTAGCTGCTAGGAAGCCACAATAAAAGATGGTTTGTGTCAGGTGTAGCAAGCAGAAGAAGGATTCTTGAAGGCTGACAGTTTGCCTGTTTGTGTCCAGTTTGTGAGATTTCTGGATCTATTGAGTTGGCCACCTTATTTATTTGCTTGCTTACTTACTCAGTCACTTACTTATAGGGCTTATGGCCTGTTTCTGACCTGCGGACTTCAACTCCCAGAATTCCTGAGCCAGTGTGGAAGTCAGGGATGAGTGGCTCAGGAATTGTCTCAGGAATTCTGGGAGTTGAAATCCACAGGTCCTAAAGAGCCATAGTTGTTCACCCCTGACTTATATAGATACCATTCTCATATAATAGCTCTCACAATACACAATAAAATATTATCCTTCTCATCTTTCCTATTACATTCTCCTATTGGTATCTTATTATTACATTACTTTGTTGTTTGTGTATACACTGAGAGCTTATGCATTGGATATAAATTTATTGTGTGTCCAATCACACTTGGCCAATAAAGAACACTCCACTCTAAACACACTTGGCCAATAAAGAATCCATTCTATTCTATTCTATTCTATTCTATTCTATTCTATTCTATTCTAT